AAAATCAAAATAAAAAAGAAAGACTTAGAATAATGTTAAAATAATGTACCTAGTATGAATTAAAATAATTTAGACAAATATTTATTACCTATACAAACTGAAATACTTATATCGAATAATAATAATTACTAAGGTGCTTTTAACTCTCCTATTAAAGTATAAAAAAAAGCCAACGACTTCATTCTTAGAACCTTTAAAGAGTGACACGCAGAGAGCGCCCGTCCGCTCGGTGTATTGTCGTTTATTTGGTCTGTGGTTGTGGTCCATATAAATACACGGAATTAGACCCGCCATGTTCCGACCCGAACCGCGCCCGACCCGCACCCGACCGGCACCCGCCCTCTATGTGTTTCACGCTCTAACTCTCTCCTGAAAAGTTGTCATTTTGCAGATGAGGCATTTTTAACACCTAAGGATACATAAATCACTAAGTATTTGAGATACTTAAATCATTAAGTAACTCTGCCGTCAATTATGTCATCATTATCACCGTCAAACCATTGCATGTCCCACTGTTGGGCACGGGACTCCTCTAAGGAGATCTGTGGTTGTAGACGGACGTTTTCAACGAGTGAACCTTCTTCATAAAAGTTACTTTACGATGTTTTCCTTCGCCTTTAACGTGAGGTATTGCTATATACTTACTCATTAGCTTACATGCATCCCCTGCTTGACATAGGCATCCCCCTGAGCACGTCAACTCTCTCGGTCCTATGCCGCCCGCACCCAGTCAGTGCCGGCCACCATGCAGCAATTAGATATATAGTTAATAGTATTAACAGTGGCGTAGCGTGGGGTGCAGAGGGGGCCATAGCCTTGGGCGGCACGGCAACGGGGGCGGGCGGCGAGCGCGGACGAACCCCATCTGTCACAAGTTATAAAAAAAAACTAAAATTATTATTTTTTACTTAAACAATAAATTACACTGTTTGAGCAAACGATATCCTGAACTACACAAAGGCGGCGAAGCCAGGCGAAAACAAAACCACAATCTAGTTGAACCTGCTCAAAAATTTAAGGTGTATTAAATATTCATTTACCACCTACTAAACATTTAGAAATATAGGTACCTGCGTGGGTTAAAAAATAAAGTAATAAGTGCATGCTGCCACTGGGATTCGAACCGTCGTGCTGTCAATTGTGAAGCAATCGCTTTCCCACTAGGCTGCAAGCGCTCGCTTGTGCTTTACGTACTCAAAAGTATTTCAATAGCCTTGTGAAAACTATTGTCCATTATATTAGTCAAATATCCATAGATCCTCTTCGTGGTTGATTGGTTCTGTAACAGTTGCTACTATACTATCAGAGCGGTTTCCCACGGTTCTCAAGGACGACTTTTTTATGACACTAAGTGACGCGAGATGAGTGTCAGGACCGTAGCAAGTGGAAGACTGTTGTCTCTGCCTACGGCGATGGGAAAAAGGCGTGAAGTATATGTATGTATGTACTAAGCGACACGCCTACCCATAACAGTTGCAAAGCCACGCAAAGCCTTAAATGGCAAAGACCTGAAGTGCACTGCACTGCGCCCGGCACTCTGAGACGTAAAATTTACAAGTCCCAGGTGACTGTAGTTTTCCCGGCACCCTTACCCTTCAAAACCGGAACTCAATAATGATCATATTACTGATTGGCGGCAGTACTTGTTGGATGTAATGAAACTTTATAAATACATCTGTCATTTTTTGAGTTATCATAAAAAAACCATAACCCAGTTTTAGAATATTGAAATTGTTTAACGATATTTCAGGTATGCATCGTTAGGGTAAGTTCCTCTAAGTCGAACACATTAACTAATTTTAACTGTTTTTATAAGACACTTTATTGCTCTATTTTTTGCTATTTAAGGCAGTTATCACACTGCACTGAAGTAGCTCAGTTTGTATGGAAAACACGCGCCGTCGAACACACTGACAAGGCTTTTCCGCGCGTTTACCGCGCAGATTTTTAAGCTTGTCGCGAACAGAGAACAAAAAAGTAAGGGAATGGACACTCTCCGCCCCTCCCTAAATTTAGATACCCCACCGCGCCCCGCACATTGACGGTCACATTGATTGAACGGCAACAAGGCTCTCGGCGAGCCGTTTTCGCATCAAGACGGCTTTGATATTTGAACATAGTTGTCATTTATTCATCACGACACTTGTACGTTACTATTTATATCAATATAATGAGACACCATAACTTCGTGAGTTAGTAGACAAAGTTTCTCGAATTTTCAATTTGTATTACCGATAAATGTACGTAGTGAATATAAGATAAACTTGGACACGCAATTTCAAATACCTTTTAAAACCAGTCCAAAATAATTTTTTTTAAGTGGTGTTAATAAATTTTTAAAATAAATCTTCAATGTTATTCTAGTTAGTGATGTAATGAAAAATATAATAAATATTATATCGATGTAAATACTTAATTAACATGTGTAGTTATTAGAATTATTTTAATATAATTAAAGATAACAGGTTCGCTTAAGAATTTTCGCTATGTTGCCGCTCTGAGCACGTAACGGAAATTGCACGAGACAGTGATGGGTAACCCTGTCACTTCACGCAGGCATTTGCGCATGTGCAGATAGCGCCTTGCTATGTGTAGTAGTAATAGGTAAATAACTTTCGACCATTGTATGGAGTGTCCGGGGTGTGGTCGCGAATGACTTTGACGATTTGACCTCTAAGCAGTAGTAATAATTTCATACGCCATCTATCGACCACTCGCTTGTACTTACACAAAGTCCAATAAAGATAAGTTGTAAATTAGAATACAGAAGAGTCATAAGTGTTTTTTTGCAATCTATACCTACGTTGTTGTTCCCTCAGAGACATTCGAGAATAAACCATCGTAAAAATAAACATTACATAATATTTTAGGGTCAAAATCGTAATATCATAAATAGTGACAGTATTAGGTAAATCTTGCAATGATTCAATCGTTAGTTGATAGGACCAATTAATAACTAATACTACTATTTTCAACTATAAAAGTGAAGTAGAAAAGAATAGTAAAATTGAAACAAATACTTTTATTCGCTATATTTTAAATGCATTTACCAAACTTCAATATTTACTAATTAATTATGCGTCATTGAAAGTATCACTTTTATGTATTATTTATTCAATTTGTTTTATGCAATACGTAAATAAACACTTATAGTAATAATAAAAAAATAAAAGTGATTACGACGTTGGTCGTAATATGGTCGATGGTCGTATATTTCTTTGAAAGGCAAACATTGGCTGAGCGACATCGGACTGCTTAGGTCCGAACTTTGGAAATAGCAATACGATATAGAACTTCCAATGTGTTAAATAAAGTGAATATTTCTTCTCACGGGAATATGCTGTGTGTGTGGTCGTGTTTTAAGAAATTTGTAGATTTTACGTAAAGCACGCATGATGAGAACCCATCAAGTTCTATTCCCGGTAGAACCAATTTGGGAAACTTTTCTAAAATGGTTTTGGCCTAGGTGTTCTGGAAAGTGTCGCCGAGTGAATTCCGTAGCTCTTAGTCCTGGGTTTGATTTCCGATGGAACCAGTTTCGGAATTTAAATTTTCTAAAATGGTTATGGCCTAGGTGTTCTGGGTAGTGACGCGGAGTGTGTTCCGTAACTCTTGATCCCGAGTTCGATTCCCGGTAGAACCAGTTTCGGAAACGAATTTTCCTAAAATGGTTTTTTGCTACTAGGTGTTCTGGGTAATACCCCGTAGTGTATTCCGTAGCTCTTGCTCCCGTGTTCATTTCCCGGTAGAATCAATTTGGGAAATGTACTTTTGTCTGTTCTGTTTCCAACCACCTGGTCTCAAACTAGGGAACTCCCTGTACTCCTTATGACTGCCAGAGAAACTGAATCCAAGCATAGGCATTACCAGACACCCAGACCAGACCCAAGTTCAAGAAAGTTCATTTAAAAAATCTGTTGTGCCGGGAATCAAACCCGAGACCAAGGGCAACGGAATTCACTCCGCGGCACTACCCAGAACACCTAGGCCTTCTCTTCCAGAGCACCTAAACCTTCTCATCCAGTACCGTATTATTTGCATGTATATTGTACAAATTCCATACTTCACCTTAGATTTATTTTTTAATTCGGCATATCTATATTGTCTAGTCTTTGTTAGTTATTAAAAAATATGCAATGTAAATATAAAGACATAACTAATTTATAAAACCTAAAAACATTGTTTTTACATTGTTTGACTTCAAATCGACCAGTTTAACTTGAGCTTTGATTGAGATGTATGGAAAGACGACATGGCTCCAGAATCCACACAAATTTGATTCAAAGTGTATTCCATAGCATTTAACTTTATTTGAAAAGAGCAATCCCTAGAGTTTCTTGCTCGTTCTTCTCAGGGAGGTCAGCGTAGTGAACGAGCAGTAGCTTAAATGTGACGATTTCAAGTGTAAATTTATTTTACCTATGGAATAAATAATCTTTGACTTTGACTTTGACTTTGCTGTAATGAATGAAAATTGCAAAATTACATATTTAATTACCGATGAAATGTGGTTCCGTTTGTTTTGTAATTAGATGTTTTGCTGTTTTTCCCACAGCACTGAATGGAACAGCGATATTATCTTTATTATAATAAATACAGAATATTTTTGAAATATACGGGTCATACACACAGGTCAGTTGTTGGCGCTGTACTATTTCAGTTTTCTTATTTGTGATATCAGCGCAAGCGAGAGTTGATATTTACAAGAGATAAAAGATTTTTTTGCCTGATGATTTGGCAAAGATGGGTGGCCCTTATTTCGTCTCTATTTTTGGTTTTATACTCGATGAAACCAATAAAAAGTACAAGAGTTCCAAAAACTATCCTTAGAAATGTTTTTTTTAAACAAAGGTGACTGATTTTTGAAGCCTAAATATCAGTAAACGTAACAAATAATTCTTCATTGAGATTCAGGTTACTGCTCTGAGCTATTGTTCCGTCCCATTGCAACGAACTCTGAAAAAAACTTATAAATAAAGGTACCTATTCAATTCCTACAGGTTCAATTCAATTAGACCCTGGAGAATCCGGATCTGGTTCAGCGAACTCGGCAGGCTCGGGGTACGAGAGCGACATCCGACATTCCAGCTCAGACAACAGCTGGGAACAGAAACCTCACAAATATGGCATTTTAACTAGAAAGGTAATTGTGGCATAAATCTCTGGTAGTAAGTAGTAATCTCTTCCACAGTTGTCACCTTGTTTGTAATTACGTCGTTACTTAACTACCTTAGAGTGCGTACAAATCTGGCGAATGCACTAATTTGTTACACGAAGGGATGTACTTTACTCGATCGTATAAAATCCTGAAAACTAACTTAATAAAAGTCTAAAATTAGTTATTTAAGAACAAAATATTATCTACCTTTGCACATAATTTTTATATGGAGATATTACTCTTTAATTACTACAAATTATATTAATTATATTATACTTATTAAATCCACATTTGTTCGCGGCGCATTCTCCAGATTTGTACGCACATTATAGGATGGAAAAAAAAAGAAAACGCAGTCAAAAACATAATCTATCTTCGTTTTAAAAGTAAGGTTACAATAAATCACTTTGACCACTAATGTACAATAAAAACCTTAAAGTGTGGAAATATTTTTTTTATAATATCAAGTGACGGGACGGTCAAGTAGTGCGCCTGATGAAGCTACACGCCTGTCCATAACAGTTGCAGTGCCACTCAAAGCTTCAAACCGCAAAGATCTGAGGGGCACTCCCGCTGCGCCCGTTACCCTGAGACATAAGTTTACAAGTCCCATGTGCCCGTAACAATCTTAGAGGAGAGAAAAAAACATAATAATACAGTACTGCCCTCGGAACGAAAAAAGGCACAACTGCTGTGTAAAGTACGCATAGTGGGTTCATGACATATCTTGGCTGTCTTCGAATCTCCGAATGCACCCGAATATAAATTTCCATCTTCTTTATTGCGTCAGTAAACAAAAAAGATTACAACTAAGCCAAAAACCAATAGCTTTTACTTTTCAGAAGAAATTCAATCATTTACGTCAAGTCAATCTCGTACATTATGACAAATCAAACTTAAATTATAATAATGTAAAAAAGTAGTTTTCATTGAAAACCATTCCATTTTGAGACCCGACAACATGGATCGAGAAATTAGAGTTATTGAAGGCATAACACTAAAGAGAAGATCCCAATGGACCAAACCTCATAGAATATTGCCTAAAAATAATCAACCCGAAATGACCCGAAACAGTCTAACAACTCACAAGTGTATCGCCTTAAAAGAAGATGATTAAAGCAGTGAAATATCTCGAAATTAAATAAAACATTTATGTACTTACCTTATAAAACACGATGGATACACAAGACGAAAATTTGAATAAAGATTCTTCTGAAGAAATATGCAAACAGTTTGCACAAAAGCTGAATAAATTCAGTGAAGGCGCACAGTTAGCTTCTGGATCTCAGGAGTATTTACAGATATTAGAAAACCTTACAGAATATCCAAAAGGTAAATGTCGATTCAAGCAATCGCGAAGCAATTGGAAATCAGTGGAACCAAGAAATACTGAAAAGGAAATGGACACTCAAACAGTCGGGTGTCGCACATACAAATACGTACAAAATTTTGGAAGAACAATAGTAGCTTTCCCCGTGTTTATCGAACTGTTTTCCGAGGAACAAGACGGCGACGGTTCTTGTACGGATCACAACCAGGACAACAAAGAAGAAGAAAACAATAACGACAATGAAGCCGTTTTGTTAAACTCTTCGCACTCCATATTTGTAAATGTAAAAAATCTAAAGTCTAAACCAGAGCCAAAATGTCCACCGCCAACACATCCACCGCCAGAATGTCTATGTTCACTGCCACCATGTCCACCGCCACTGTGTCCACCGCCACTATGTCCACCACCGCCACCGAGTCGACCACTGCCTTGCGATGTATACAATATAAAATTTGAATGTGGTACAAAAGACGTCGCATTCAAATTAAAATGCAAAGAACAATCACCGGACCGTGAACACCCAAATTCTTCCATATACGAATGCAAGTTGCTAGATGAGGGGCAGTGTCTAGACATGGTGATAGCTATGGCAGCTGCCGATCTAAAATGTAAACATATAGAACCTGTTCACAATGTTCATTCTGTGATAATCGAAGAGGACCCCGAAGAGGCCCAAAATCAAACAGTTGCTAGAGAAATAGAGAATGAAAAGGTAGACATAAACCATGCAAACAATGACGATGAGTTGGAGGAATAATGCCGAACATAATATATGAATTATGATGTCGCTAGCATCCATCGAACTTTGGTTTAACAGCAAATCTAGCCAGCTGTGTGACGCAGCGTGCAGTGGAACCTCTTGGAAAACTACACAATGATAGATTACAACCGCTGGCGTACCAGCGTCTTAGAAATTCTTCAAAATCATAGGGTGACGTGTCATGCTCCATTTTACAATTTCGCAACTGTAGTTTTTGTAATTAGTAAAGCTCTGGAATAAAGTAATATTTTGCAGATATCGGGCAAAAGCGTCCAATTCTTCCTCTGCCCGACATGCGGTTACGAAACACAGCTCCCTCTTGGAGGCATATCAGCTCTGCCTCTCAACTATATCCTGCTTAGGAAGATGGTGACTGCCGGTCAAGAAGACAGAACCAGCATACTGTGTGATCTTTGCAATTGTGATAATAAGGTGAGTCGAATTATCGGGTTCACTCGGCACTTGTCGATATGTGTCAGAACATATTTGGCTTGATCCTTTATCTATCTCGTATTAAATGCATATCACTTGACTTGTCACTCAGATCTTGAAACACCTCTGAAGCGTCTTATAGAAAAGAAGCGTATATTAAATAAACTCTTCTTTTCGTTATATTTGTTGATAGTATCTCAATTTAAAAAAGACACGGCATTTGTTTGATTAGGATATAATATTGATTTTGACCCGTAGCTTCATTTATTAATAAGCGGATATATGTATGATGCTCTCAAATGACGCTTAATTAGCTGGTAGTTGTTGATGTGCACAGAGAAAGATTTTAATATCCATACCACAATTATTATTTATTAAACGAGCTTAGTGGATTATTGAAAACTCAAGCTCAAAATCAAGACTGTGATACTTGAATAGGAAGTATTAATAATGCCATTCTAACCAATCACCTATTCTGCCAATTGGCATTCTTTGTGAGATAAGAGGGCAAACCATTCTGTTATTATTGTATTTTTTGCTTTCTTGCTTGCTTATGTTATTATAATGCGTTCTTGTAAACAAATACAATAAGTGTACATGTAGCATTATGAAAAACATAAAAGCAATGCTGCGCACCTTCACTGGTGATATTTTAAGCATACCCTCACAATGCCGCACGTGGTCGCAACTCACGCGCATCGGTCGGGAATACGAGCGGTTTTACAAATACCTCATCGGTTTTGTTACGTTTCATTTGTTCAGCAGCCTTTGTAAATGTCACATTACGAGTTACAAAGTATTCGTGTGAGTTATTTTGAAATATTTTTTGTACTTTAAAAGAAATCGTTGTCGAGAACAGTAACTACTTACCTACTTCACAACAGAATCTGTTTAGTCATATCAGTTTGGTTGTGTAACACAGTTTATTAAAACTTGTGCAATTATTTTGATAGATAAGTTAGTAATATGTATACTGTGTACCACCGCAACATTTTGTTTATTTGGGAACAGTTGAAGCCTTAGTTAGTACCTAATAAAGCCACATACGTCAAAAGGGCTTTTACCAGGTGAAAGACGTAAAAATAATATGAACGACATAAAATCCTAAAAAAAAAGGTAACGACCAATTCCTTCGTAGAATCTTTTTTTAATATTAATTTATTTATTTAATTCAGGCCACATGACCCACATAATACATACCTTAATTACTAACATACAATATAATATTACAATAAACCACTGTTTATTTATTTACACGTATGGACTGCGACGTGTAACGCAACTTGGGTGTCCGGTAAACGGCCTCGGATACGTTGATAAATAACATCTTTCGGCTAAAACTCCTTCATGAAGGTCCACAAATGTTGAGTTGGTACACTCACCACAAATGGATTAAAATTCACATTTTGGCGGGACCCCAACCGCTCGAGAATAAATACTCCACAATTTCACCTGACTTTGTGGAGTAATGCAGCCGTGACACGTATAACAACGTCGTCTGTACCGCTGGACGCAATAGATGATTAGCGTCGGGATGGTGCCACTAAGAACTTTCTTTCCTCGAACCTCAAATGTTAATATTTCAATATCTATAATCGTTTAAAAGTTATCGTATAGCAGATCTGGTATTATTATACCAAAGCGCACCCTTAATTACCATCACCCAATCGCGTAAATGTAGCAAATATGTGTCAAGTAGTTTCTCATTCATACCGGTGTTATGCAAACTTGGATTGTAGCCAAACAATATATTGCAAGATTATAGGTCAGGATATCTAATAGCCGAACTGTCGTGACTTGACCTTATTATGTTATTAAAGATATCGAAAGATGTAGCAGCGATATTAAATGGTTATTTTTACTTTAAAGTAACCGAAAAGTTTTCCGATACGATTCATTATGCTTGTCGAGCGGCAGACACTGGCTTTATTTCAAAGTTTATTTTTGTTACAAACGACATTTAAGCTATTTGAAAAATGTATATCGTATATTATACATGTTCTATTTAGTTCAATTGATGTATAAAAAAGTCATTGGTAGATGGAAAGTACCTATTGAATGCAGCGGTTTTCTTGTAAAATTTCGAGGTAAGTTGTTTTTTTTTTGTGTTGTGATAATTTTCGGAATCGTGTTTTCACACCGAATAGTAATCAGTGTAGATATGTCCTCAATTTTAGTATATATTTTTTTCAAAGTGATTGATTCCACACTTTCACTGCGGAATCAACCAAAGCCATTTGAGGTTGTATCGACAATAAGATTGTCTGTAACGGCACGGTCCACTTTTTATACAAAAGTTTTTCGATCACGAGGTTTAGTTACGGATGACCTAATAGTGGACTATAGAGTTCACGTGCTTGTCTAATGCGGGTTACCACATGTAGATTTCCACGCGTTTTTGAAACGTAGTGATACTTTTTCGATTTGTAAGTTTCAAGAGGTTATCATAATTATATTAACTGATTTAACCAAAGTTCTACAGTAAAAAAAAACAAAAATTCACAGGCAGAAAGTCGCTGTAGCCAATGCTTGGTCAGTATCTGTACCTCCTGTGGGGAAGCTCATGGCAGGCAGAAAGCAACGGCTAGGCACTCGCTGCACCCACTTGATCCAGGCCCTGTCCGATATTGCAGTCAGCACCCGAAGGCCGAACTAAGTGTTTACTGCGCTTCTTGCCAGCAGGTGAGGAAATAATAACCTTAAATAACCCTCAAGTCGTAGAATTTCCAAACACATGGCAAGATTTGTTTCTCAATTGGCATTGGACGCACCAGCATCCTTAAAGTCGATTTTATTGTAAATTAAGCAAGTTATTAATATTATGAATAGAAAATTGTACAATACAAAGAAAAGTTCATTCAATCTGGCTAGACTCAAACCAACGCCTATTGCCACACCAGGGCTACCGTTCTTGCCAACAGATCGAGTCTCGACCTGCCACTCTTATCGAGAGACTCGATCTGTAGACAGAGTCGCAGATCAAGATTCGATCTGTAACTCAGCTGGTAAAAATGGTGGCCTCGGTGTGGCAACAGACGCTGGTTCGACTCCAATCGAATCGGAGGAATTTTTCGTGTCGTTCGATCTTTGCATCAATAATAATAACAAACTAGTGAAGTATTTTCACAAAGAATGTAGTCAAAAACGTCATAATTATAATTATTAAAAAATTCCTTCGATCCGGCCGGATTTGAACTGACATCTTCTAGCCACCGTGGCAGACGCTATGCAAACTAAGCCACGGAGCGAACCAGCGGACCTTACGAATTTTTCTATGTGCTTGTTGCAGATCATTGTTTTTTGTTTTTAACGGCTTTTTATGCCGTAGCGCCATCTGTGAGAAAATTATTTCTTCACTAAGAGAGGTACCTTTACAGCTACCATCGTAGACTAGAGATGTCGCTTTAATCATTGTAATTTTCAAGTTTTTCTTGAATTTCACGATATTTTAATACCATTTTATTAAATTATTTTTTGGGAAATTGCTCCAATAATTTGTTCTTTATTAATAGTAAAGATCGTCCATTTAGAAAAAATTCCTTCGACCCGGCCGGATTCGAACCAACGACGCGACGTCTTCTAACAAAGTCAAAGCTTTTAACAAAAGTTTTTAACTAATTTTTATTGTAATTATATTAACAAAAAATAATTGAATATCATGGGAGTAAAACATCGTAACATTCAATAAAAACTTGAAAATTATGATATTCAACAATACAAATACTAACAATTTACGATTCAGAAAAGTCAGTTCCCTGGCTATAATCTGAAATAAATTCAGCGTCAGGATTAATTTAAGATGCAACGTTACGTACTACCATTACCAGGTCATATGCCGCGACTGCTGTCTGATCTCCCACTCGGGGCACGCGCTGGCCAACGCGTCACGCGCAGCGGCCGAACGCGCAAGACTGCTGCGCGACGCGTGCGACCGCGCAAAGCACGTGCCTGAGAATGTTGGACACGCTAATCGGATACTCAACGTGCAAGCCATGGAAGTTGATGTACGTGGTTCAACAAACCAGAACCAGAATATGTTGAGTTCAAATTCCCGTAAATCCAAATTGTATACATACCAATAGGTGTAACAGGAAACAGAAAGTATCTATCTAAGTCCTGTTATAGGTACAAAAGCATGCCCGTCTAGCGGCCTCAAACACAACATTCATATATCTTTTTATAGCTTTTTTGGACCATCATTTCACAAAACATTTTTGGTGTACATGTTGTGAAAATGACCTGTCTATTATGTGCTACAATATCTTGTTTTATACATAAATAAAATAAACTTAAGATATTTTTGCATCCGTACTGTCTTCTTCAGACCCAAGCTTCACAAGTAGAAGCAGAAGTAAAAGCATGGGCTGAACAATACCGCAAAGCAGTAGAAGCTCACGGGCGAGCTCTTTGTACTGCTGCAGCCAGAGCGAGAGCTCGGTACCAGCAAAAAGTTGAAGAACAGAACAGGGAACTGGATGAAAGAGCTCACCAGGCTATGGATGCTGTCAAATTTGCTGAAGAGGTAGGTGATATTTACGAAAGGGAGATCTCATGGAGATTTGTTTTATGAATCCTTCTTTGTAAGATATAAGGGAAAGATCTGTTAAATCCCTATAATGCAAGTATGCAAAGAACCATAATTATTTTCCAAATCTTCCAGCTATTATCAGAAGCAAAAGAAGACGAGCTTCTCTCTCTCAGCGGTTTAGTCCTCAGACGTCTCGAACGGTTATCGGAATTACAGTCATTGGCTGAACCTCCTCGTTGTGAGCTACGATTTGCACCAACTGCACCTGTTAATGATTCTACGTTGTTTGGAAGGCTGCTAACTAGATCACCGGATACTGAACGATGTGTGCTTAGCGTAGAAGGTAATTCATATGAAAGTTTGCTTAAATTCAAAACACAAATACCATGAGGTCAGCCAAAGATCACAAATTTAGGGTCGTATTCTAGAACTCTACTCAATGCTCAAGTCAGGATTGCACTGGAAACACAAGACAGGGACGACCCAAATGGCAGGGACTTGAGTACGATTTCGAGTGCTTTAAACCATACTCAAATCCTGACTTGAGCATTGAGTAGAGTTCTAGAATACGACCCTTAGAGTTCCAGATTCACTGTGAAATTGTAAAAGCTATTTCTCAAAGTCAAGTTTGCGAATTACATAGAAAAGAAGCTAAAGTCCTGTAGGTGCTCGGAAATCATTCTTGCGACCTATTTGACGTGATTTAATCATTTTAGGTCTTCAAGATCTCAAGGTAGATTGTCCACATGAAGCTATAATGGAACTTCGAGACAGCAGCGGCGAAAGAATTTGGTGTGGCGGTGAACAGGTATGTTTAAAGAAACTTCACTTTGAAGAGGAACAGTTGACTAGAGCAACTGAGATATTTAAATTACGATATTGACCTTGCTCGCAAGAACGATAATCAAGCAAATTTGTGTTAAAATGAAAACACTAAACGTTGAGATATATGCATTCCGCTTCCTGATTTCAGGTGGCAGGGTATTTCAGAAGACGCGATTCAAGCGCAAGACCAGCAATGGCGAAGGTGACAGACCGAGCTGACGGAACCTACTCGATTGTATTCACTGCTCCTAGTCCTGGTGCTTACTTGCTGGCTGTCACTTTGAACAATAAGCCGATAAAGGTAAGACACAGCCAAATATGAGAAGAACTGTTCGGCCTCCAGACAAACAAGATAAGGCTTGTGAATCGGGCTTGGTTCCAAACATCGAGTATTTAACCAGAAATAGAGACGAAATAAGGGCCATCCATCCCTGGTCACTCATCAGGCAAAAGGGCCTCATATCACTTCTAAATATCAACTCTCGTTTGCGCTGAAATCACAAATTAGAAAGCTGAAACAGTACACCGCCAACAGCTGACTTGTGTGTACGTCTTCGTATATTCCAAAAATATTCTGTATTTATTTGTAATAAAGATAATATCTCTAACAATGGGGCTGTTCCATTCGGTGCTGTGGGAAAAACAGCAAAACATTACAAAACAAACGGAATCACATTTCATCAGTAATTAAATATGTGTCATAGCAAAGCTCAAGTTATGCTGGTCGATTTGAAGTGAAACAATTGACAACACCCGTGAATTGTTTCGAATTCGGGCTGGCCAATCGGTGCGCAGTTGTCACCGTAATGATTTGGCAGAATAGTTTTCAAACAAATGAAATGCCATTTCGTCTCTATTTCTGGTTATGTACTCGATGGTTCCAAAAATAATTGTGTAAAAACTCCTTTGAAAAATTCGGTCTTTGAAACCAAAGAAATTTACGTTCATGCCATATCCAGCCTGCTCTCCTCACGGATAAAACTGTTATACTTTTATTGTATTCATCTTTTGGTATTTTTTGCCGGGTGACACTGATCTCGAAGAAAAATCTTCTTTCGCAGGGCAGTCCATTCCCGTGTGCAGCACGAGTATCAAAGTCCCACACTGGGCAGTTCCACTGTTGTGCATTTTGCTCTTCTGGTGGAAGGCGAGACGCCACTTGTGGATGTGGTGCATCCATGGGAGGAGGATACAAAGGTAAACTTTGTTCTCGTGTCGAAGATAGGGACAACCTAGTAATTATTTGCTTTGGAAAGCAAACCAAATTAAATACAAAGCTGCGAAGTTTTATGCGGCATTGAGCTTGTCGATTAAGCGTGAAACACACAGACAGCGGGTGCGGGTCGGGCGCGTGTCGGATCGGGTGCACGGCGGGTCTAATTCCGTGTATTAATATGGACGACAATACTCCAAGCGCGGGCGCGGGACGGGCGCACGCGGAATTACACCCGCCGTGCTTCCGACCCGACATGCGCCCGACCCGCACCCGCTCTGTGTATTTCAAGCTTTATTGTCGTTTATGAAGTATAAAGCAATCGTGACACAAATAAGGCTTTTATGGAATCTAAATCGCGTGTATTTGTTTTTTCAAACAAACTAATGCTGGCCGGCATTGACTTACAATTATATGGACGTCGGGTCCGCGCTAAAAAGTGTCCGCACTTTTAAGGCGCTAAAATCGTATACAGAGCGCTACACTCCGCTTTAGTCTTCATTTGTTCTACTGACAGCGCGATACTGCGATGACATTACAATTTAAATTTCGAATAGGTTGACTTGGGACATTTTTTTCGTGGTTTTTTGTATTAGACCCGTCGTCCATTTATTTGTAAGTCAATGCTGGCCGGATTTAAATTGGATTAATAATACCCATTAATGTCCAAAATCGAGGCAAAAACTATCTATTTACTACTAAATGTTTGATGTACTTAAATCGAGTTTCGTTCAAATTTTATGATGTTACAAAATGTTTATTGCTTTCTGATTTGGACGATTCGACTTGCCTTTCTATTGAATTGGTTCGCTTGAAAATCGCATTGAAATAAATCGATTAAAAAAATCGTTAGTCCTTGAATCGATTTTCGTAAAAATCTAATTTAAATATGCTTCCTTGTTAGTGAGGATTGTAAAGTAGGTATTGTGAGGAGTTGCCTCTTTTTCATCTTAAAAAGATTTTTTTACACCGAAATTTGTAATAAGTATGGAATTATACCAAATTCCGTATTCGCCGTTTCTGCCCATGATTCGGGCAGAAATGGATTAAAACCCATATCTTTGGGAAAAGCTTGGACGGGTTGATTGAGTTTTAATCCACTGCACATATCTGTGTGGTTCCCCTGCACGCTACCTATACAACAGCTGTGCTCGAGTTTACACTTACGTTTGTGCGTAGGCTGCGGCCACGGACACGCGGGCTGGCCGGGCGCGCGCCACTGGTCGTGCTGCGGCTCCACGCAGCGCCACGGCGCATGCGCACGGGCGCCGCGAGTCCGCAGCCAGCTTTACCAGTTCTCGCTTTGACTGCTCTACACTGTACTTGATCTTCTCTATTAAAGGAATAGTTACGGAATTTGTGCTTTCAATTATTCCAATACATTTGACCTGAACACCGCGAAACTGTCACTTAAGGTTCAAGTTGTAATAATTTAAAATAATTTCTCCATAAAGCAAAATACCTCATTTATTCAATATTTTTTATAACATTAAGCGACGGGACGAACAAATCATGCACCTAGTGTTGAACGACACGTCTATCCGTGACAGTTGTAGTGCCGCTCAGATCTTTGAATCGCACGGATCTGTGGGACACTGCCACAGGCGTAATTTCATCAAGTTTCCCTCGTGGCGCAAAGTCGTGGGACATTCTGTATAGTCTGCCAATAGGGAAGGTAAAGATCATGAACCTACACACTCGCTACGTTCAGGACAAACTTCTTTCGCCTTCTGCATGCTGATTTTGGTTTATATCGGAATGAAACCGATCGGGTAGTCTCGAAATCAGATGGAATTTCTGATTGAACTAGGGGATGAATCCGGGTTTGTGCACTTTCTGGTAACCGATTTCAATAAAACTATGTAATATATGTAATTCCATGTACTTTTGAAGTCGGTTTTTTTAGTATTCTGTACCGAGATAATAAACTATTATCATTTACGTGTCTTGTTCACTAAAATAATGTATTTATAGATATACCCAATCGCGACATGTACGTCCATATTTACCTCTACCCTCTTCACTTTACTAATTTTATTTTGCTATTAGTGAACATTTCGATCCCTCCTACGTAAAGTATCGTATGTCGACAGGGGAGCGTTGTAAAGTTCTGAATTCACTGAAGTGAGCACGTGACTTTAGAATTTCTGTTTATTCGGTAAAGATCACAGATTTCGACATACGATATTTTACGTAGGAGGGGTCGATTTTTGTTAGTGACTGCATTATGTCTTAATAATAAGGTAATATCGTATCGTAATCATGACAGAAAAAATAAAACGATGACTAATATTACATTGAAGTTTTATTGTAAATTAAGTTATTGCTTATTCATACTTCGATTCACGTGACAACACTGTAAAATCCTAGGGACCTCCATTATTGCTCGATTGATCCCGACGATTAAAATTTTTTTTTAACTAAAATTGAACTAATTCAGTCCATTTTAAAACATTTGTTCATTATTTTATTATTGGTTTTTGGAAGTTTTTAAAATTATTGGAGACGAAATTAACAGTGTTGTTAACTCGAAAATGACAATAGGTGGCGTTATTGCCAATTTTGAAACATACAAGAGTTTTGGACTCTACAAATAACACCAATGGTTCATAGACATTTGTCTAGCTTAGCAATTAGATAGCGTAATATTACGTAATAACAATGATTATGTAAGGCTCAACTCATACTGGCGCAGAGTCGCGTCGCGTCCTGTTTTTCAACTCCACCGCCAGGCGACACACCTCGCTGTTCGATTCCATATTTGCAAAACACAAATTTGTGCCTTAATAATGGGAAAATATAGATGAATATGCTATAGGCGAAAAACATGACGCGTCGCAACGCTTCGAGTCTGCGCCAGTGTGAGTTGAGCCTAACGGATTGCCAACAAAGGTTCTCAAATAGAAACAAAATGATGAAGAAAAACATGCCTATTTTAGAGAGAAAATAACGCTGGCTTGATTCAATTGAATAACTACGCCATCTGTTGACGTTTCGAAGTTAAGACGTGGTAATGAAACCTTGTGCTGTTTTTTTATTTCAATATCAATAACAGATTCCAGGTGTTAACACGTAAAACAAGGAAAAGCATTGCTTTTTCCCAAATGCAAATAAATAAAATTATCTTTCCACACAAACGCAGAACAGCTGAAATCCAACTGTACGTTTACGCTATAAAGTGGCTTGGCAAATGATTCTCGATAATTTCAACAACTAACGCCATCTAGCATTCTCTTAGTAAAACGGGAATAGCAATTATTATAATTTCGTCTCCAGAATCATATTAAGTTATATCCTATTCTCTTCATTGTATAAAAATGTGAAATTGTTGAATTATATAACTTATCACAGCTTGTATCACATCTGTAAAAAAAACATTGATATTTTTCATATTTAAAAATGTTTCAACGGTTAAGAAGATCCCTTATAATTAAAATTTATTTTAAGCTAAAATTAACAAACAATATCGTTATGCTTATTTAAATCAAATTAAAATAACTGAATTGGCGAGTTTGGCGTTCTTGACAACATTTCACTAAAGACCGTTTAGGTACCATTTAGATAAATTCTGTGGCTCTAGTGAAAAGGGATACAAGTCAAAAAAGCCTACTTTACAAGGCGACGCGAAAAACAGTTAAAGTTTAATATGATATATATGATATTAAGCGATAAGTGTTCTTCGCGTTTCCTAGTAAAGTTGGCTTTTTTGACTTGTACCTTTTTTCAGTAGAGCCATAGAATTTAGTATAACAGGCTATTCAAGTTTAGCCTCTCAAACTGAGCCAACTACAAAATTGAACCGTATATTCACGTGCTTAGAGTGATAGCATACAAATTCTTACACTGAAAAGCGCTATACGGCGCTACACAAATAACTACCCTATTTGCGTGTACATACGGTTCAATTGTGCACGAATTGATTTGGTGTCAGCAGACCATTCTAGTAAACTACACTACGTGGACATATTTTTTTATTATAAAAAATTAACTCTTCCCAACATAGAAAAAGAAGAGTAGACTACGTAGTTAAGGTTACCAGGAACAGTCTCCTAACATCCTTTATATATACTTAATCTCTTCCTCGCCAACTACAAAGAAACATATCTCTATAAATAAATACTACATGCAGTACATACGTACGGGCTCACACTCTGTCATATTTAATGGGCAATGTCGACAGTTTTCAAGCGATATAAACCTGTAAAATGCCGTAGGGAAATTGCAATATGAGATTCTAGTCGTGAACAATAAACAATTTATGTTTTTAACTTCTGCAAATTCAAACAGTGGTGTAATTTCCTAAAATAAACAAATTAATTTATATAATGGTGATAAAACATAATATTTATTGATATTATTATAGATATTAACAGAATTCAAAATATAGAATTGAATGATGGAATTTATGATCTGTGTCAACAACCTGATAGCGTCAAAATAGTACGTCTTCAATAGGGTTGGAAATGTGTTTAGGTAATTGTTTTTGCAAAAGTATTGTAATCGTGGTAGATTTAATTACCTCCCCAATGCAAGAGTGTGAGGCTTTCAGCAGGTCTCTTATAGTCCTAGTGCGGGCACGGGCGTATACGTCATGGGGTTGGGCGCGCACGCCTGTCGCACGCTCATCTCCCAGGCGTCCAGCAGTTGCCCCACCGAACAGGTTTTGGGTAACCTGCATATCATAAATTTCGTTCAATTAAATTATACGTGCTATGAAGGCAAAGAGAGAGATATTTAGGCATTTGATACGACACAATGGTTTTTAGAAGTATTATAATATAAGGGAAGATTGACGGAAAGAGGCAAGGGAAAATGTCAAATCACGACCATAGAGTGTCGCACAGAGATAGTTAGATTTACTTTGACCGACAAGAGCCTAGCTCCTAAATAAAGAAAAGATTAACCATGATGATGAGTCTTGCTCATTCATGTTTTTCAGGAAGTTCGTTATAACATTAATGCACGATTATAGTTTGATTCAGGGCTTTATATCTGTGGCTCTAGTGAAAAGGGGTACAAGTAAAAAAAGCCGACCCTTGCTTCAAATCGACCAGTTAACTTGAGCTTTGCTAATATGGACGAAAATTGCAAAATTACATATTTAATATTAAATTACCGATGAAATGTGATTCCGTTTGTTTTGTAATTAGATGTTTTGCTGTTTTTCCCACACCATATTAATCTTTATTAGAATAAATTCAGAATATTTTTTTGGAATATACGGAGACGTACACACAGGTCAGTAGCTGGCCTGCAAACGGGAGTTGATATTTACAAGAGCTGTATCGCTAATGTGTTACCAGGAATATACGGCCCTTATTTCGTCTCTATTTCTGGTTACATACGCGACTGCCCACAACTGTAAGTCGTCCAAGCACGGTGTCCGTGTGTGAGCAACGTCTAAGCAGGGGTCCGTCGTAACGTACCTGGCGCAGCGCGCGTCCATGGCCCGCTCGACGCGCGCCAGGAAGGAGTCGGGCGGGCCGTGGCGCGCGGCCGAGCGGCGCAGGCGCGCGGGCGCCAGGCGCGGGTAGTCGCGCGGCACGGCCACGTGCACGGCCGGCACGCACGGCAGCCGCGCGTCGTCCAGCTGCGCCACCAGCGCGATGGCGCCCGCGCCGCCCGCCAGCTGCATGGCCTCCAGCGACACCTGCGCACGCGCACCGAACTGCTCTTTCACCGTTCGTCGATTTCATTCAACTACGCGATTTCTCACACGCTATTTGTGTAATATAAATCCGTTGGTATATTTCGGAATACTGTAACACAGGGTATCTAATAATAATAATAATAATAATAACCCTTCATACCCATTGACTTACAAATAAATGGACGACGGGTCTAATACAAAAACCACGAAAAAAATGTTCCAAGTCAACCTATTTAAACGTAGTGACATGTAAAGGAATATGAAAAAGCTAAAACGTTGAATTTAAATTGTAATGTCATCGCAATACTGTCTAATTTTGCTTGCTTCGCTGTCAGTCGAACAAACGAAGACTAAAACGTGAATGACGCTCTGTATACGGTTTTAACGCCCTATAAGTTCAGACACTTTTTAGCGCGGACCCGACGTCCATATAATTGTAAGTCAATGTTCATACCGCCTTAAAAATGATAGATCTGCACCCTAAAACCTACATACCTCTACAAAAGTCAATTCTACTAGACACATGCTCGATAGTCCGCCGTTTCTTAAACACACCTGACTCAACAATCTCCACAAAAAAACACCACTCACTCACATCCCCTCACAATACCACAATCGAACCAGAATACTTGGGTTAGGCCCACCTTGTTCTAATAATCCGACCATCAGTCGAGTACAAGAAATAATAATAATAATAATCATTTATTTCGGAACTGGTCCATAATTTGTTAGTAAATTACAAAATGCTTAGGTCTAAGGGTTAGTTAATTGTACAATACATAAGGACAGCGACACAAAAACAAAACAACATTTATTTTCTATACGACCGCATGTAGCCGCATACAATGCGCGAGCATCGGCGAGTCCCAGCGTGCGGACAACGCGCTCAGGATGCGCTTGGGGCTATACATATATATATATATAATATAATACTTATATTATATTTCATTCTTATTATAGTTGACATTAGATTGGCAACGATGACTTATTTGTTTATTAAAACTGATTTGTTATAGTTCAACTGCTTCTCCTTCATCTACCATGTTTATATTATATAATTCGACCCCTCCGACGTAAAGTATCGTATGTCGAAATTGCCAAGTTTACAGAGGAGCCTTTTAAATATTCTGAATTCACTGAAATAAGCACAACACGTGCCTTTAGCATTTCTCAGTTTTATTCGACAAAGCTCGCTACTCACATAGAGTATTATAAAATCCTAGATATCGGTTAGATGAGGTATTAGATGATCACTCTATTTGAGTAACGAGCTTTGCCGAATAAAACTGAGAATTTTAAAGCGCTTCCCTGTAAACTTGGCAATTTCGACATACGATACTTTACGTAGGAGGGGTCGATATAACCATAACTTATACGTTTCGTCTGGTACGGGGAATAATATACAACCCATTTTTGTTGTCCCCATTTTTGCGGCGTTTGAGTAAATAAATAAATAATCCATTTTCCTGGCTATAGTGAAGTGAAAAGGTGTGTTTTGTTCGGCAGCAAAGTTGTTTTGCGTGTCGTGACTTGCTACTCTCAGGAATCTGTTTTTAAACCATTAGACTCCTTTGCTTGCTCAGGTTTTGAAACCTGAATTGAATACAAGCACTTGCATCTAACGAGACATTTGTAGCCTTACAGAACAAATAACTATTACTGCCACCTACATATCTATTTCTATGTAAGCGTGCTGGTGATATTACAGGCGCATGGGACTTGTCAACTTATGTCTCAGGGTGTCGGGCGCAGCGGCAGTGCCACTCAGATCTTTGTTACTTAAAGCACTGAGTGGGACTGCAACTGTTATGACCAGGCTTACCACCAGACTCGCGACATGTTCGTCCCGTCACTTGATATCATAAACAATAGGAAGCGCAGTAATGTGAGCATTACTGTTTGGCTTTTTTTTGGAGAACGTTAATAGACGTTAATCGTTCGTCGTCTTTCACCTAATGCCGCTAGATGGCAGCACATTGAACGAAATTTCTTAACATGCAATAATAGGTATTGAACTTTTAAAGGTATGCCAACTGAGTAAAGTTTAAATTATATTAACAAACCAGGATAAGTTACTTCTTTTTAAATAAGAAACTATGACCAATTTCATCATCATATATTTCATCATTATCAAGATTTCAAAGTGTTTAAAATTATGTAAGTATGAGTTTTGGCGCCAGATATTCTGATAGTTATCTTACTACATTAGGGCCCTTCCATTGCTCGTTTTTCTTTCGTGGTTCACATTATTCCGCTTTTAAATAATTTAATAAAACCACTTACCTTAAATCTAGAATCTAATCTAGCAATTTCTCCCTGCAACACATCAGGTATCTCCATGGTCTGTTCTTCGATCTTTTGTATTTTCAACGGAGGTGGAAGGTTCTTGATGTCAGGGCCGTTGATGGAGTCGAGAGTGGAACCGAAGGTGCGTTTGAGAGTATGGTTGGCCAGCGGCGATTGGAGGCAGTTGTTCACGACTTCAAGAAGGGGGTTGAAGATTTGCTCCTGAAATTGAACATGATGCATGTTACGGTAATTGTAATTAACGTGATAAATCTAAATAATGACCGGTAATTATTAATAAGTACCTTATGGTTTGGTAAATGTGAAATTCATCACTCTTACTGGTTGTTAATAATAATTCACAAGATGCTCTCCTCGGTAATAGTAGTAAAATTCGACGACACAAATTGCAATTGTGAAACGTAGAGAAATTCGGTTCAGCTTTTTCATATAACTTAACCTAAATCAGGGGTCCATCACTCGCTCGAGGTTACGCGATAAGTGCCTACCGCTGAGTGTACCACCGACAGTGCAGGCGCTGAGACAAGTCTTTCATTTACATTACAACCCTTGTACATTCTAGCGCATTCGGTTCCGTACGATTGCACACAGCGGGCAACGTTATTTTCACTTCTCCAAAAGCGCTTGCTTAGGTTCCTTTTTCCTCGTAGTGTGCGCCTGGTGTCATTAGTCAAATTAAGTAGGCTCTTAGCGTAGGTATATTGGATTTTGTATGAGAGTAACATATCTGTTACATAATAATTATTAAGTAATCTATGCCTAAACCTACAGGGGGCAGGGACAGTCCCAATCTTTCTACATAAGTTTTGTTTATAGTCCCTATCAACCTCTTGGTTGGGCACTATGACCTGTGCGAGCGTACCCGCATAAGGACCGTCTGGTCAGGTCCTAACCCCAGATCAGTCCGTTTGCACGGACTTCGTCTGGTTCAGCGAGTGCCAGAACCAGTTCTCACTACGACACTACACAAAGTATATTGAGAGAAAAACGCCTTGAATTGGAGAAATAGCAAAATCAACCATTAAAGTAATTGCTCCTAAATTAAAGTTAGGCGCTATTTATAAAAATGAATCTTCATGCGTGAACAGCCACCGTTCGAGGTGGATAATTTTCTTCAAAATGAAATGGGACCACTATGGAAGTGCCCTCTTTCCAACAAAAAAAGAATCATGAAAATCGGTTCACAAATACCGGAGTTATCGCGTAACATACACACAAAAAAAGAACATACAGTCGAATTGAGAACCTCCTCCTTTTTTGAAGTCGGTTAAAAATTTATTACAATTATAAATACTAAGGTTTAATTATTCATAATCACCGGTAAAAATAATTAATTTATTACTTTTGTCTCGAATTTCAGTAATTATTAATAATGATTGATGATTATTAATAATTTCCAATTAATCACACTTACCGTAACATAAATGTATATCTTTAGTAACCGCTACTTTTTCATCACGATGCACGGAAATCAAGTACTTATTCCTTTTTTAAATACTGGATTTCCGTGCATCGTAATGGAAACAAGAAATGACAGGCATACCTTATAAGCGCATTGTATTGTATTTTATTTTTATTGTATGACAATTATTTTATTTTATTGCTTTTGCTTTTGTTTTTATATATAATGGTAATTTGTATTTAATAATAAACTTGTCAATAAAGAATTATTATTATTTATAGATATTAGACGATGGATGGATGCGTATTCGACCTCCATCTCACCTGATGGAAAGTGACGATGGGGTTGGCGATGGAGCATGTACACCTAGATAATACCTCTTCCAGCCTTGTAATGACCCAAGTTATAACGTTCAGAGAACAACTCTACAACAAACCGCTCGATCATGGAGATCGTCAAATAAATGTGGAAGCGTAACGCTTCGTGCGAATCTTGGATATATCCTCAACATAGGAGTGGACTCTAGCCGATGTCTAGTCTCCCAATGACAGAAAGGGATGAAGGAGTTATTCCATGGAATTTGTTCGCACACTCTCCGTGATATATCCCGTAGAATACTGATAAGCAAGCAACTTTACAGCATAGCTGAATAAGACACAGCCTCCATATGAGAACATTTTCCACTAAACGTATGTCTGCTTTAAAAAAGCACATACATACATGTGAACATAACTTATTTATCAACGATGGCATGAAGTATCAAATTAAATGTAGTTAAATCACGAACAGTTAAAAATCTGTTCTTAAAATCACCAAAAAAGAAAATGGTAGCTAAAACCCAGCTTTGCTATTATACTCGCGTACCTTGCCAGCTGTAGGTGGCAATCCAAGGCCGACGCCTTCGCTGCGTTTGAAGTCAAGCTTCTCCAAAACCACTTCGCATTTAATGAGCGTCTCCAACGGCATACGCTTGTTCGGGTTCGACAGGATGTCCAGGAGATTCTTCATCTTCGTTAACTTTTCCACATCTGAAATGAGAACCATATGGAGTTGTCAAAATTTTGCTAATACAATTATTACGTGTCAAGACTTTTCGAGTTCAGGAGGAATTCAGGTGGGCAATCCATAGATTATATTGGACTATAGATTACACCTGGAAT